CTTGCAGGGCAGCCTGCACGAGGAGATCTGGCTGCGCCGCCTTCCAGGCTTCACTGGGACTTTTCCTCCTAGCACCCAATGGAGCCTCCGACGGCCAGTCTACGGTCTCCGCTAGGCACCGCGTGAGTGGCACGACACACTGAGGACTACGCTTGCGGCTCTTGGGTTTGCTCCCTCTACTGCCGACTCGTCGCTGTTTCTACGCACCGACACTTCTTTGCCGCCGTTCTACATCCTCGTTTACGTCGACGACTTGGTCTTTGCCACAGCTAACACTGCTGGACTCGCTCACGTGAAGTCCGAGCTGCAGAAGAGACACATGTGCACAGACCTGGGTGAACTGCGCAGCTACCTTGGCTTGCAGATCACCCGGGACAGAGCACGCCGCACCATTACCCTGACTCAGTCACACATGGTGCAGCAGGTCCTTCAGCGCTTCGACTTCACGTACTCCTCGCCTCAGGCCACTCCTCTGCCTACTCGCCACTCGCTCTCAGCTCTGCCTTCGGATGAATCCGTAGAGTCGAGTGGCCCGTACCCAGAGCTTGTTGGCTGCCTCATGTACCTGATGACCTGCACTCGACCTGACCTTGCATACCCTCTTAGCATTCTCGCACGCTATGTTGCTCCTGGGAGACACAGACCGGAGCACATGGCTGCAGCGAAGAGGGTGTTGCGCTACTTGTGCAGTACGTCGGGCATGGAGCTTGTGCTTGGAGGGCGGAGTCCAGTGGTCCTTACTGGGCACGCAGACGCTTCTTGGGCGGACGACCAGGCTACGCAGCGGTCGTCACAGGGTTACACCTTTAGTCTTGGTTCCGGCTCTGTTTCGTGGCGGGCTACCCGCTCGTCTTCTGTTCTCGGCTCCAGTTGTGAGGCTGAGATCTACGCCGGGGCCATGGCTGCACAGGAGCTTCGCTGGCTCACCTATCTGCTGTTTGACTTTGGAGAGGTGCCTCGTTCTCCTCCAGTGCTGTACGTAGACAACAAGGCCATGTTGGCCTTGTGTCGAGAGCAGAGACTGGAGCACAGAACAAAGCACATTGCTCTTCGCTACTTCCTTGCTCGTGAGCTGCAGCAGCGTGGTCAGCTGCGTCTTGCGTACGTGGCCTCTGAGGCCAACACTGCTGATATCTTCACCAAGGCACTTGCGCCTTGTGATCATCAGCGCTTCTGCACTCAGCTTGGTCTTGTGCCTGTCTTGCCTCACTTGCTCACCTCTTGACCTTGCTTGTACTGTTACATATACTTACACTTGCTCTTGTTATATATATATATGTACTCCTGCATATGAACTGGCCTTGTGGCCTTGAACTTGTGCTCGGAATGTGTGGTGACTTTGTGATCCACCCTGAGCTTGCTTTGCTTTGCTTGACTGGTCTTGTGACCCCTTGTTCTCCCCCACTTTGCCTATGGGGGTGTGTCAAATTATAATGTTGTGTAGGCTGTAGTGGGGTAGCCTATATGGGGTACACAATGCTAGGGTTGCATACTTGTATCAATTTCATTCCTTAGTCATCCATTCTCGTTTCTTCTCAGTCTCCTCTCCCCCACCCACCCCTAATCCATTGCCATTCACGTTGACAGACACATGTACTGTGGGATCTAATTCTAAGGGTACATTCAGGTGTGGACACATGTCCCAATCGATGTGTCCCAATCGTTTCTACCGCACCGCATCGTATTACACCAAATTGCACCCTAGTTTCGAAATTTTCGCGTCTCTGGTTTAGTTCGGTTCGGATCGGTACAATCGTTTGGGACACATCGATTGGGACATGTGTCTACAGCGGAATGTTCCCTAAATGTACGGTATTGAGGCAGGCAGGCAGGCACGCAGCTGAATCATGAAAGATATTTCATGAGGTTCGAAGCCAAGCAGAAGGTGTCAAACAAATAACAGCAGGATTATTAGGAATTTATAAGATTATAACTGAAATTACTGATACACAGATATTGCAGGCTCACCTCAGTCACAGATATTGTAGGAAATATATTTTCTGGCACACATGTAGTGATGTTAATCGGACCTAGAATCCTTTTAGTGAGGGGCCAAGCAAGACGGGTGTTGTTTGAGAATCCATCCACACACCTCCGAAAGCTCGCCAGAAATTGAACCGTCCCCCTCTGTCGCAGGTTGAGGGTTGCGTTGGGGTGACGGAGGGACGTGGCTTTCGGGTTGTGGTTGCCACCGAGCAGGGAAGGCTACGCTGACGATGGCTTTTCCTCCACGTCGGTATGCGACGTGGCCGTCAAGCCACCACCGTCAGCAACCCCAACTCCCCCACATCCCCTCCAACTCCCAAGCTCTGCTAGTGCAATTTCTGCCTATTCAGCGCCTTATCCCGCCTGGACGCTTCCAAGCTAATTCCACGTAGGCAGGAAACGTGGCGCCGTGACATCCTGGCGGGAGAACTTCGGGTTTCGTTCCTCAGGGAGCATCAGCAGGAATCTCTGCGCCTCAACGACTCCTTTTCAGCCTCCAATCCCCCTTTTTTGGTCACTCTACGACCAGAATTCTTGATTTCTGGTTCCTCGCTTCGCCTTCCTCACGCTCCTCCTAAGCGTCTAGCACGCGCTTCACGTACCCTTGCTGGTGTATTTGGTAGACTTGCAACTATGGCAGCTGCTACCCAGTCAGCCAACCTGAAGGTGTGCTTCCTCAGCGGGAGCGAGTCGAAGCTGGGCTCTTCCTTCACCCAAACTGCCTCTTTCGCACCTAAGACTGGCGTCAGCTCTACCCCTCGCAAGCTGACCGTCAGGGCCGCTCGTGAGAAGTTTGAGAGGACGAAGCCCCACGTTAACATTGGCACCATTGGACATGTCGATCACGGCAAGACCACCCTGACAGCAGCCATCACAACAGCTCTTGCCTCCGTCACTGGTGGCCAGGCTAAGAGGTAACATTTACAGCAAGTGCGATTTTATTGTAGGAAGGTTTAGGTCAGAAGTAATTGACGACAGGAATCCGACCTAACGTTTTTCTGTACAGGTATGATGAGATTGACGCTGCTCCCGAGGAGAGGGCTCGTGGTATCACAATCAACACTGCTCACGTCGAGTATGAGACCGAGGCCAGGCATTACGCTCACGTCGACTGCCCCGGCCACGCCGATTACGTCAAGAACATGATTACTGGTGCCGCTCAGATGGACGGAGCCATTCTCGTCGTGTCCGGTGCTGATGGTCCCATGCCTCAGACCAAGGAGCACATTCTTCTGGCCAAGCAGGTACACCATGCTGTCGATCTCATTTGTTTGTCATTTATTTTCGCAACCAGTTTCCGCTGGTGTCATTCTTACCCCTCACTTGGCTGTCTGGACTGACGGATTGATATCCACTTCGCAGGTCGGCGTGCCCGCCATGGTGGTGTTCATGAACAAGGAGGATCAGGTCGATGATGCTGAGCTTCTCGAGCTGGTGAGGTTCTCGCGATTGAACTTAGTGGACACATGCGACATGTGGATCACTAAGGCATGCCTTCAACTTTATAGAATGCATGCGGATTCGGAACTAATTAAACGATTGGGGTTCCATTTGTGCAGGTCGAGATGGAGGTTCGTGAGACTCTTTCCAACTATGAGTTCCCCGGTGACGACATTCCCATCACCGCTGGCTCCGCTCTCATGGCACTCGAGCACCTCACCGCCAACCCTGGCACCAAGCGCGGCGACAACCCCTGGGTGGACAAGATTCTGACGCTCATGGACACTGTCGATGAGTATATCCCCATCCCCGAGCGCGCTGTCGACAAGCCGTTCCTCATGGCTGTTGAGGACGTGTTCTCCATCACTGGTCGTGGTACCGTCGCCACCGGCAGGGTGGAGCGTGGCATTGTGAAGGTGAGAATCTGGACAGATTGCGGTCACAAGAAATTAGTTGAGTGCTGTAGAAATGAAAACAGCTGACACCTTTCACGTATCTCCCTGAGCCAAAAAACATTCCATGCCGGATTTTCTGTTTGCTGTACCGTCCCTTGCAGGTCGGTGACACGGTCGAGCTGATTGGTCTGAAGGAAATGAGGACCTTGACCGTGACTGGTCTGGAGATGTTCCAGAAGATCCTTGACGAGGCCATGGCCGGCGATAACTGCGGCATGCTTCTCCGTGGTATCCAGAAGACGGAAATCCAGGTACGTTCTTCTTGATTGTATGTAGATGGTCATACCTGACGACGTCGCCTTCCCTGGTTTCGCTTACGTGTTTCATTCCTTGCTCTTGTCTGTGTTTCAGCGAGGGATGGTGCTGGCCAAGCCTGGTTCCATCAAGCCCCACAACTCGTTCGAGGCCTCCGTGTACATCCTGAAGAAGGAGGAGGGTGGTAGGCACTCGCCCTTCTTCGTCGGCTACAAGCCCCAATTCTACATGCGCACAACTGATGTGACTGGATCCGTCACGAAGGTCCGTAAAGCACGAGCCCCAGAGTTTTGAATTGTGTGTAGGTTTCCCGTTTCCTGAGCTGACATAAGTATGCTTTATGATGCAGGTGCTGAGCGACAAGGGTGAGGAGACGAAGATGGTTATGCCCGGCGACAGAGTGAAGATGGTTGTGGATCTGCTTGTGCCCGTCGCTATTGAGAAGCAAATGCGCTTCGCCATCCGTGAGGGAGGTCGCACTGTGGGCGCTGGTGTTGTGTCCGAGATCCTTAACTAGATCGAGAGGCATACTACCAGATTTTGTCTTGATGTGTCCATTGTCCATCAAGTGATGCTGATGATAATGTAGAAAGATTTTCCAAATCCTTAAAATGATCCGCGTAACGTCCATTTACAGCTAGACTATTGCAACATACTATGTGCTACGATGAGAATTGGACACCTCGACATCCTGCAGGTAAATTGTTCGTGACATGTTTCTCTCCTGATTAGTACCAGCTAAATCATCATGCTTCCAGGTAAATAGAAATCTATGTAGTAGATAGAAGTTGACAATATTTGTAGATCACATTTCTTGGATTACAAATTCTCTTGCACAGTGAGGTTAGAAGAGCAGCGGTATATCTATAAGACCGACGTCATTGCCCCCTCTGTCCCTACCATTTCCCCCTCTCCCTGCCTGCTTTCCTCCTCCACAAATGAGGGCAGCACACCCGACTTAGCAGCAAATATGGCCTCGTCCATCCTTTCCTCTGATACTCCTCGCAGCAGGCCCCCTGGGAAGAGGACAGAGCAGGGGGGAGTGATAAGGAATGTGATGACGAGCTCATACAAGTGAGGGGAGAGCAAGGGAAAAAGGATGAGTGCACGTAAGGGGAGTGAAAGTGAGTGAGTATGTGTGTGCGTGTGAGAGAGAGGGAGAGAGAGAGAGAGAGAGAGAGAGAGAGAGAGAGAGAGAGAGAGAGAGAGAGAGAGAGAGAGAGAGAGAGAGAGAGAGAGAGAGAGAGAGAGAGTGGAAGGGAGAGTGGAAGGGGTGTGTTTGCTTGCTTGTCTTCGTGCTATCTGGAATCCACCCCTAGAATCTGCATGTCTGTACCTGCCCTTATTATCAATACAAAGGACCGGTTGAGAGAGAGAGAGAGAGAGAGAGAGAGAGAGAGAGAGAGAGAGAGAGAGAGAGAGAGAGAGAGAGAGAGAGAGAGAGAGAGAGAGTGGAAGGGAGAGTGGAAGGGGTGTTGAGTGGAAGGAGAGTGCACATATACATGCATGCTTGTGTGTGTCTGTGTGAGTGCACTCATGTACCAATATAGCTGAGCTGGCGTCGCCACCCGTTCTTCCCCCGCCGTGTAATGACCTGGGCAGCAAAAATGAACAGAGTGACAGAGGAGGAGGCAGAGAGAGCGCAAGCACAAAGGAATAACGGGCGACATTTGCTGGTTGGTAGTTGGTGATTAAATTGTTTGATGGTTGATTAATAGGGCAAGATAACCAAGAGGGAGGTGAGGGAGATACCACCACTGTGTGCATGAAGGGAGAGTGGGGCATGGAAGGAGTGTGAGGGGGTGAGTGAGAGTGTGTAGTGTGTGCGTGAGTGTGTGTGTGTGTGTGTGTGTGTGTGTGAGGGGGAGAGAGAGAGAGAGAGAGTACCTGTGCGAGCTGCACTGCCTCCAGTGTTTCCTCGGGGAGATCCATCCACCTGCACAGGGAGAAGAGAGGAGAGCAGAGGAGAGGAGAGCAGAGGAGAGGAGAGGAGAAGAGATGTGAGGAGGGGCGATGAGAGGAGGGGAGAGGAGAGTGGCGAGCGAGGGAAGGAAAGGACGTGCATGTTGTGTATGTCTGTGTGATACAGAGAATTAGAGGGGGAGAGAGAGAGAGAGAGAGAGAGAGAGAGAGAGAGAGAGAGAGAGAGAGAGAGAGAGAGAGAGAGAGAGAGAGAGAGAGAGAGAGAGAGAGAGAGGAAGGAAGGAAGAGAGCTAGCGAGAGAGAGAGAGAGAGAGAGAGAGAGAGAGAGAGAGAGAGAGAGAGAGAGAGAGAGAGAGAGAGGGAGAGAGAGAGAGAGAGAGAGAGAGAGAGAGAGAGAGATAGAGAGAGAGAGAGACAGAGAGAGAGAGAGAGAGAGAGAGAGAGAGAGAGAGAGAGAGAGAGAGAGAGAGAGAGAGAGAAAGAAAGAGGGGGGGGGACAGAGAGAGAGAGGAACAGTACAGAACAGAACCAGGCAAGATGAGACTTACCTCACGACTCTCTGCAACTCCTTTCCCTTCAGTTCCACCAGAGCCGATCCATAATCCTTGGCCTTCTTCGCGCTCCGCTTCGCCGCATTGCGCCCCTTCCCCGGCACACCGCGCCTTGGTCCCTCCACCGCAATTTCCCGCTCCGACTCCCCACCCCCCGCTCCGCCAAACACCTCCGCGGGCCCCGCGACCAGCTCCGCGTCGTCCCGCGCGCGCCGTGCATTTCGCCGCCTGTCACGGCCGCGCAGCTCTGCTTCTAGCGCGATCCCGTCCCTAATCTCCTCGTCCGTTAGACTCAGATCAGTCCAACCCGCGGGAGTGGCCGTCGCGGCTACCGTTCCGCGCCCGCTCTTGGCGCGGCGGAACTCCGCGCCGATCGCTTGCGACGACCAATCGGTCGCGAATGGCCATTCGCCCGCTCTCCCCACGACTGCCACTGAGAGCGCGCGACGATCTTGGAAAGCCGCGGGACTCGCGGCGATCCATTTGACGCGTGAATTAGGTCGAGGCGATAGTAAACAAGGATGAAGCGTGGGACTGCATGGGCTTGTGCTGTCGTGGCGGGTCCAGTCTAAGCTGCCTTGGGATCCCCCTGTGCGACTAAAGAGACCTCGTGCTTTGTGTCGCTGCATCAGCTCTATCCGAAATCTCCCGTGGTGGGCTGACATCCAGACCTTGCACTGTAGGCGACTGAGTGTGCCTGCCATTGCCGGACTTCTCGCGGGGGAGGCGGGGTGGAATTATGGAGGTTTAGCGCCGCGGGGTTGCACACTGCCTTAGCGCTTCCTCTGGCGGAGGAAAGCGCGGCTGTGGTAGTGTAGAAGGTAAAGTCTATGGCGATGATTGCAAAAGCGAAAAGGAGGCCAAAACCTGACATTCTTTTACTGGGGTTTGCCTTTGTTTGGGTGTAGTTTGTTTGTTATCCCAAAACGTTAACGATAAACTCAAACCCTGGTCACTGTTTTTCCACTTCATATTGGACTAACCTGCACATTTCTGGCTCAATATATCTCTGGTGATTCAGCATGGTGATTCTAAACCCTCCCTGCCATTCTTTCCGAGCTAAACTCAACACGGTTATTCATAGAATAAATGGTGTACGAATCACATTATCTAATGAAGCTTACAATACGTTACTATCATTCTGGTTAACCCTTGACTTCAACAAAGCAAAATTCTACGGAAATACTCTTGTCTGGGGGATCCACAGCCCTAACGAGAGTGGTCACGAGTACCAGCAGAATTTGTGAATACTAGGCTGATGAACTGTGCGTCCAAGGTCACAGTGCAGTATTGATTAGAACGCAGCGGCGCGCCTGCAAACACGCGTCACAGACAGGAAAAACGTGAACCACAATAGCAGAATGACACGGAACATTAGACCGCAAACATGTAGGGAGCCTACGAAAACGAATGCTCCAGAGATGAAAAACCATGAGCTAGCGTGTCACACAAACAAAGCCACTCTAAACCCGAGCAGTGCAGAAAGCCGCCGCGACTGACCTGAGGGAAGCCCTTTTTGCTGTCGCCATTGTTGAGCCACCCGGTCTGGCTCAGTTGCACGCTGTCGATCCTTATCTGCACGCACTTGCCCTTGAAGCTCTGCCACGACCGAGCACGCAGCACATCGCTCACCGCACATCGCAGGGGCATCGGGCGAGGTGAATTCAGAATCAGTGCGACCGATAGCGAGGCTGGCTTTCTTTAGTAGGCGTGGATGCTAGAGGTGGCTGGAAGGGCGGAGTACTTACGGGGACGAATTGCTTGGGGATCATGCGGCTAGCGATAACGCTCGTCGTGTTCAATTTGGTGTTGCGAGTCATGAAAAAGAAGTAGTTTCCGCACGCGCCCGTCGGCTGGGAGTCACAGACGAACGACAGAAACCAGCGAATGAGGAAGAATGGACGGAAGAAATTTGACAGAAAGAACGACACTGGTTCGCAGCGGGTATTAAACTGTTTGGTTCGCCGTACCTTCTTTTCGTTCAGGAATGAGCAGAAACTGGAATATGCCGCGTTAACCGCCTGTCCGCTCCTGGAACATTGCGCCACACAAGCAAAAGTCTCAAAGGTTCATGAGCTCGACAATACAAGACCCGGTAATCAGGTCATCGAGTGAGAAGAGTGAGAAGAGTGTGAATGAGACGTGAATTTGAGAAGGAATGGCGTATCTTACTTGTGCAGTACCGGCGCGTTGGAGAGAATTCGGTTGCCGTTCACGGCCTCGACTGTCATTGTGGGGACGGCGCCCGCGCTGCCCTTCACAACAAAATCGCATTTCTGCCATACATTCGCGCAAATCAAGACTTAATTTCGTGACAATCTGTAGCTGTGGTCGATTATCCTGTCTAGAGATAGCAATGGCCGCTTACCTTGAGCTGTGCCGGGGTGCACCGCTCATCGGCACTTGCGGCGGCCCCAACTGCACGAGCAAACACGAGCGTAAATGGTCTTGCCGAATTTTACACTCAGAGGAGCGCATCTATTCGAAACTTACCAGAAAAGAGGATCACGGCGACTAGAAACATGTTGAAGGCCATTTTGCCGAAGGATTGTCTGATAGAGACTGCGAAGGTGGAGGTGTGCAGAGCAGAGGAAAGTTGTTCTAGGTTGAATGGAAGTGGTGATTTCTGCTTGAAATGGATGTCAAAATGCCAATTTCAGGGGGGTATCTCATGGTGGAAGGGTGCTCCAAGACTTGCCTGGGGAGGCGGTACGAGTCGCGTCGCGGCACCACCAAGGGCGCAATGTAGTACAGGTGCGCAATGCACAACGCGCAGATGTACAGTTAGCGAGCTTGGTGCGGGTGTGGCTTGGTCGCGGAATGACGGAGACGCTCGCGCGAATAGCGCAGAGCGCCACCGTCCCAGCCCACTTGACCAAAGGCAACGCACTCCCGCCCTTGGCGCTGGCTTTCTGCTGTGCGAGGCGAGCCACCGAGTGGGTGGGGCACGAAGCGTCTTCTGCGACCAAACCAACGACATCGCAGGCCCACATCACGGTCGCCACGTGGCTGGTTCGCACGAAACCTCACACTGGCTGAATGAGGGATTGCCCCGGGCAAGCTCGTGACCACGAAAGCTTGCTTCGTAGGTTTTTGTAAATAAAATACACTTCGTCAACATTGTTGAACAAAGAAAACTAAAAGTACCCTCCACTTAGAAGTAAACCTCATCTCAACACTCAACCCCCTCATCAAGGTCAGCCCTACTTCCTTGCCCCAACACGTGAATGCAACCTGTTATATTCATACTCAGCATATTTGAAACACGATTTGTACCTTAAACATGAACAGAGAGTTGGAGGAAGTGCTCAACTCTAACACATCACAATATACATACGGTAGCAGCAAACTCTCTAGCCTAACGAAGCCAATTACTGGCCTTACTGCTTCTTCCCACTTCTGCCTGAACTGAACCCCGAAGCAGAGGATGATTTGGAAGAGCTGCTTGAAGAGACAGGCGCCTTGTCTGAGGATCGAACAGCCACCCCAACCACGTGACGGTCAACAGTGGGCAACACATAGTCATAATTCACCTGCTCGTATAGGGGTAATACCACCTGGCGGAAGGCAACAGGAAGTTGGGGATCAAGGGAGGAGAATGACACAGTGCAGTGCGGTGCCGTGAGGGTTTGATAAGGGTTTCGCGTCTGAAGTTAAGGTTTGGGTGGAATGGAGTGGTGGGGGTGTGGTGTGGTGTGTGGGAGGACAAGCATGTGGAATGAGCGAGAGAAAGCAGCTGTGGCTTGTGCGACAGGCTGATAGCTTGTACTAGCAGGCGGGCAGGCGGGCAGGCATCCGGGAGAAGCAGAAGACATGCAGTAGTAGGTGGCTGTTGAGGCATATGCACGTGCATACCACAGAGGAATGGCGACAAAGCACGGGAGCACTGGGAGGGGCAGAGAGAGAGAGAGAGCGCCCACTCACATCTGGGAGGAAGGAGAAGGAAGGGCGGGTTGTGTCCTTGACTCCCGGGCTGCCACTCTCACATGCCTCCACGAATATCAGTGGCTGCCAAGAGGGACGGGTTGGGGGCAAAGGAATTTTGAGGCGCCTCAAAAGTCACTCTTACATGCCTCCATGAATATCAGCGGCTGTGAAGAGGGAAGGGTTGGAGGTGGAAGGAAGGGTGGAAGTGGGGTGAGTGGTGAAATGAGGGGGGAAGAGGGGGGCGTAAAGGGGTGGGGAGGGAAAGAGAAAGGGGGACTGGAAACGAGAGGGTGTGGAAAGGTGGTTAGAGAAAGAGGAGGGGTATGAACAGGTGCGGGACAGTTGTGAGGTAGGATAATGAGTCAGTGGTGCTGTGCGATGCCGTGGATACATGCAGCGGTACAAAACCACACATTCAACAGCACCCGCAACAGCATGTGCAACAGCGTATGCAACAGCACACACAACAGCACACGCAACAGCACACTCAGGCCGAGAAACGAATGTATGTTGCCCACAGGGAGTGAGAGTGCAGTGGTGGAAGCAAGAAACATCCGGGGCGCATACCCGGTTTGGTTTGAGGATTCGAGCGATGCCTGCAGCAGCTGTGGTGGCTTCAGCTGGTGTGAGACGCTTGAAGCCGTCCACCGTGATCTGATCATGGCCACATGCACACACACAACACAGGCGCGTGTAAAGGGGAAGAACGGCAGGAATAATTTTGAGACGTCTCAAAAGATGGTGTGAGGCGCTTGAAGCTGTCCACTGTGATCTGATCATGGCCACACGCACACAGGCGCGTGTGCCGGAATAAAGGCAGGAATAAGAACAGGGATGCAACCACAGCAACTCAGACAGTGGCAATGTGCCGCATGGCACGCACACGCAGCAACACAGACAAGAAGGCAAGTGAGGGAGAAGGCGACACAGAGAGCAGAGGCAGAGGCAGATAGCAGAGAGCAAAGGGGCTGGAGCACACGGAGAGTTGTAGTGGTTACCACGGCGTCGACAGAGGCCGATTCAATGCGGTTGAGTGCGGTGAGGCCGTCTGGCAGCACTTCAATCGCCACTCCTGATGATATGGCTGTGACAGGGAGGGACAGGAAGTAGGGCTTTGAGGGGATCTCATAGGCAGCAGGGAGCAACAGAGGCATGCTGGCATGATGGCATGATGGCATGCTGGCATGATGGCATGATGGCATGCTGGCATGATGGCATGCTGCATGCTGGCATGATGGCATGCTGGCATGATGGCATGCTGGCATGATGGCATGCTGCATGCTGCATGCTGCAAGGCCATGTGTATCATCACCATCACACGCCCAGCGGTCCCACACACAGAGCAACTAAACCCCTCCCACGTCCAACTAACCACACCATGCAGGCCACTACACCTGCCTTTTGAGTCGCCTCTGAACCCATCCCTGCTGCTTCCCTTGTGACAGGCCATCTTCCCCTCTCCCTCCCATGTAACCCCTGACTCCCATTTGAGGGTTTTGAGTCGACTCAAAACACCCCCTTTTCCCCCCTCTTCCCCTTCCGCCCTCCTCCATTCGCCTCAGACCTGTGCTCGTCCCATTGTTTCAATCCAACAGCTGGCTGCACTGGCAGTCTGGCACTACTAATCAATACTCGCAAGAAGCAACTTCTGAATTGCCTCACGAGTTCCCAAACGCATAGCAAGTACTCCTCCTCCCATGCCTCCCCTCCTCGCTGTGTGCTTACCCTGCTGTTTCAGCAGGTTCGGCTGCACATCCGTGGGAGGGAAATGTATTGCAGAAGACGACTTTTGAGGGAAATCCGTGGGAGGCGCCTCAAAAGAGAAATGTGTTGCAGAAGACGACTTTTGAGGCGCCTCAAAAGAGAAATGTGTTGCAGAAGACGACTTTTGAGGCGCCTCAAAAGAGAAATGTGTTGCAGAAGACGACTTTTGAGGCGCCTCAAAAGAGAAATGTGTTGCAGAAGACGACTTTTGAGGCGCCTCAAAAGAGAAATGTGTTGCAGAGCGTGTTTTTGTTTTTGAGAATTCTCAAAAAACAGGCTCGGCTGCACATCTGACTGCCTGCCTGCATGGCCAGTAGCTTGAAGCTTCTCAACCTCGTCAGGACTCAGGCGGAGAATAGACGCTCCTCGCCCTCACCCACTCTTCTGCGCTCGCAGCTCACCCTGTTGTTTCAGCAGGCTCAGCTGCACGTCTGACTGCATGGCCAGCAGCTTGCCAACATCGTCAGGACTCAAGCGGAAAATAGACGCTCCTCGCCCTCACCCACTCTCCCCTGCCACCCCTACACCCCTCCCCTCACATACCCTCCTTGTCATCCCTCCCCTCACTCCCCCTCTCCCCCTCTCCCATCCCCATCTCCATCTCCACTTTCTCTCCCCCTCTCTCTCCCCCTCTCTCTCCCCCTCCCTCTCCCCCTCTCCTCAACCTCTTTCCTTCCGCTCTCACCCTGTTGTTTCAGCAGGCTCGGCTGCACGTCTGACTGCATGGCCAGCAGCTTGTCCACGTCATCAGGCAGGTAGTAGATGTTCCTGCCGCTCCCCGCGCGGAAATCCAGCACTACCGCGCCGCCACGTGGCACGTGCCGGCCCACGAAACGCGCCACTAGGAACTGGAACAGGGGGGATGGGGGGAGGAGGAAGGGGGGGGGAAAGGGCAGTTGAAGGCTGTTCGATTAATCCACTCATGGAGGGAGGCGTTGTAAGGAAGGGGGAGGGAAAGCTGTGGGGAAGAGGTGGGGAGAGGAAGGGGGAGGTGGGGGGGTTGTGGGGGAGAAGGATGTGAGAGAAGAAATTCATGAGTGCAGCTCATGGGTGTGTTTCTGGCTGGGCATGAATCAAGGCGATGATCGTGGCGCTGCAGTGATGCAAACCACGATTGACCGCACTGAACCGCACCTGCAGTCGGAAGTACGCGTACGCCTTCACTCCCGCGAACACCGCCCCCGCGCCAGCCACCGCCCCCGCAGCGACCAAGACCGCAGGAATGCCCTCCGCGCCGCCCGCTTCCGCCGCCCCCGCAACATCCTCCGCGATGTCCGCGAGCGCGGGCAGGGCGGGGAGCAGCGCGGCGGAGAGTGCCGCTAATGGGGCGCGCAGAGCATGGGGGAGGCGGAGCGGGGAGGGGGAAGGGGTAGCTACGTGGCACTGGTGCAACGGGGAGTCGACGGAAGGTTTGGCGGAGACTGGGGGAACTGTCACGGGGGCGTTAACGCGCAATGTTGCGACAGCGGCGGAGCGACGGCGGAGGACGGCGGGAGAAGCGGGTGAGGTAATGCGGGCGGGAGAAAGAGCGAGGGAGAGAGAAGCCATGGGCGCGCGGAGGTTTTGCGGCACGGGGTGCTTGGAGACGCGTCGCGATAACCCCGACTTTGCGGAAACGGTCTTATTGGGTGAAGCGAACGAAGGAAGGTGAGGGGCAACGAGTGTGATGATGAGAATAGGCTTGGCGCGCAGTGAATGGGAGGGGATTGGCTTGGTTTGGATTGTGGATAGAAAAGGGGGGCAATTGTGATTCGTACTATATAGAGTATGCATGGGAGGGGAAGTTCTGTTTGAATTGGCTTCTGGAAGAACACGCAGTCTATATATACTCTAGAAGCTTACACCGATTAAATACGTAAGAGACCTAGAAATTTGAACTCAAGACAAGCTGGACCGTATACGTACTACGATATCACTAATCAAATGTATTACAAGACAAGATGGCTTTATAGCTCACTAGTACCATATCCCTCCACTACAAATATGCAAAGCAACCGGATTAGAAAGCATTAGAGTTAAAATGAGAGGATTAGCTTGGTAAAAGCAGGAGCTAGGAATAGGAAAGTAGAACAGAACAGCACAGCAAACCTAACCAGAGCCATTCCGTTCCAAGCCAGTGGAACAGAATCTAATCAAATCAAGTTCCTGCCCACACAGCCCAAACACAGCCACCATGCCACATTCAGCCGCAACGCACCGCACTAAACCACACATGCACCCATGACCTATCATGAGTTACCTAGGGGCCAAGCACCCCAACGGCCATGTCACAGTCAGGTAGAAAAAGCCAATCCAGATGCCACCGTAACTCAAACAGGAGGTTAGCCTTGCGAACTAAGCTTTACTGCTTTGCTCCCGCCAGTGCCGAGATTCACTGCTGTGCTGACGATTCAAAACAAGGCGATACCTGCCGAAACAGCCCACGCGAGTGTGGGCGGCATTTGGTGCACACATGGAACAACAAAGGTCCAGATTGGTGTTTCAGGTTGGATTTGAACTCCGGCATGAATGCATAGGGCATGCTTGCACAGTGATGGGGAAAGAAGAATGATGAAGCAGGAAAAGGTAGAGATGAGGAAGTAAAGGTGCGCAAAAGGTATGCAAAGGTATGAAAGGGAATGCAAAGGCATGCAGTGGTATGCGAGAGCAGTGAGAGGCAAAGGTGGTCAGCAGTGCTACATTTCAGTACCTTCCCTTGCCGTCCATCCCTCACAGCACCTTCTCCTCCTCCCCACCCTTCCCCCCATCGCCATCCAAATCGCCATCCCCCCCCTCCTCCACCCCGCACACGAGATCAGCGATCGCACAGAGCAGCTTGCGGCGCGCCCCAAGCGCAACACCCATGTCTTTCAGATCATCGGCAGTAAGCACAGTGGCAGCCTCAACATCCACCTCGTTCTCCTCAAATGTGCTGCTGTATCGGGCCAGGCCGAGGGACCCTAGCCACGCGCCCACCCCCCCCACCGCCTTGATCCGCTCGCGCCCTCTCTTCATGCGATCCAGGTACCCTAGCTTTGATTCCGCTCCGGGGCTTGCTCCTGTGCCTGCTGTGCCTGCGGTGCCAGCGTCGTTCTTGTCCCCGTGAGCCTCCTCCGCTTGGGCCACCTTCTTACCGCTCCTCCCATTGCTCTTCCCACGACCTGCGCCTGCACTCGCCCCTGCCTTAGCAGCCGCCCCCACTTCTGCGTCTGCCACTCTCCCAGTTGCAACAGCAGCAGCAGCATGGTCTGTTCTCGCGCGCTTGATCGCAGGGACAGGGGTTCTCTTGCCTTGAGTCACTGCTGCCCTCTCCCCGCCCGCCTCCCCCCCCTTCCTTCCATTTCCCGCCGCAACCCCCGTCTTTCCTTGTCCCTTCCTCCCCCCCTTCCCATACTCCTCTGAGCTATACCCCTCCTCCTCCTCTTCTTCTTCTTCCGCTTCCTCCTCTTCCTTCTCCTCGTCCTCTTCCTCCCGTGACTTTCTCTTCCCACCTGAAGCAGCAATAGTTCCACTCCTCGTTCCAATCGTTTGTCTGCTCCTGTTCCATCCCATCTCCTGCTTCTGCTCCGGAACCGCCTTACCACCACCCCTCCGCGCCCCACTCACTGCCCCACTGTCCTTGCTCTTGACTGCATTCTCCTGTGGTGAAGATTTCCCTACAGCCTCCCCACCCCTCCCCTCCCCGTCCTTCCCCCCGCCCCTCTGCTCCGCACCCTTCCCCCTCGCCCCAGTAACAGCCGCCCCTGCTGCCGCCCTCCCCCACGTACCACCTGCCCCTGCAGCCCTGCTCCTGTCCCTGCTGTCCCTGCCACCCGCACTCCCCCCAGGAGCCTTACCATCAGCCGCTACAGCCTTCCCCCCTTTGCCCATCCCAGCAGCTGCTGCTACAGCCATCTTTCCCCTTGCGCCCACCTCTTTCCCCCCAAAGCCTCTGCTGTCCTGCGGAATAGGACGGATCTTAGGGGTGGGGGACTTGCGTGCAGGAGAATATTTCTTCTCATCCCCTTTCCCCAGCTCCCCAGCTCCCCCCTTCCTCCCCACATCCCCCTGCTTCCCTCCCTTCTGTCCCTTTCCCTGCGCCTGCTTCCCCCCATCTTTCCCCTTAGCCCCACCCACCTCCTTACCCCCACCCGCCTTTCCCCCAGACCTCTGTGTCCCCTTCTTATCTCCCCCCTCCCCCTCCTTCTTACTCTTCCCCCCCACAGGAGTCTGAGCACCTCCAGTTTTAGCTCGTTTCCCAGCAGGAGAAACAGCGCTCTCTTTCCCCCCTCCTGCTGCCCCTCCCGATGCTGCAACAGCAGCAGCAACAGCCGCAGAGGAGCCAAGGCGGGCACTAGCGGAAATAAGCTCCCCCAGACGCACATTAGGCTTCCGCTGCCGCTTACCCAGCACCACCCCCTCCGCCTCACTCTCCCCCGCTCCCCCCGCGCCCCCCGCTCCCCCTGCACCACCCACGCTGCCCCGCCTTCCGCCCATGGCCCTGCCCCCGTCTCTTGCGCCCTTGCCTGCGCTTGAGTCCCCAGAAGCCCTCCTTCCCTGTGCGGGTTTCTTCTCTTCCTCCTCCGATTCCTCCTCTGATTCCTCCTTTTCCTCCTCCCCCTCCTCATCCTCCTCGTCTTGCTCCTCCTCCTCTTCTTCTTCCTCCCTCTCTTCCTCCCTCTCCTCTTCCTCCTCCTCTTCCTCTTCCCATTCAAGCTCCTTCTCCTCCTTCTCCTCCTTCTTCTTCTCTTCCTTCTCCTTCTGGGCCTCCCTCCTCTTCGCCTCACCTCCCTTCTCCTCCCCTCCTTCCCCTCCCTCCTCTTCCTCCACCTTTCTCTTCTTCGCAACACCCACACCCTCTTTCCCGCCCTTCTCACCTTTCTTATCGTTCTCCTCCTCCTTTCCTCCTTCCCTCGCATCCACATCCATATCATCTCCTTCCTCTTTCTTCTCTTCCTCCTCTTCCATCTGCTGTCCTTTCCCCCTTCCCTGCTTCCCTTCTTTCTCTCCTTCCACCTTTACAGCTTCGACTCCTCGTACCCCCTCCTTTCCCACCTCCCCATCCTTCTTTTCTGTCGCTTCCGGCCCTGAATCCTTTGATTTCCCGTCGCTCTCCCTGTCTCCCTCCCCTTGAGACTTCTGAGCGATTTCAACGTGGGGCTTCAACACATTGCCCTCCCTCACTTCAAGAATCTTCTGCTTCTCGCCCCTCTCCTTCTCTTCTTTTTGCTCACCTTTCTTTTCTTCCTCCTTCTTTTCGCCCTCCTTCTCTTCGCCCTCCTTCTCTTCGCCCTCCTTCTCTTCGCCCTCCTTCTCTTCGCCCTCCTTCTCTTCGCCCTCCTTCTCTTCGCCCTTCTTCTCTTCTCCCTTCTTCTCTTCTCCCTTCTTCTCTTCTCCCTTCTTCTCCTCTCCCTTCTCCACCTTCTTTTCCACCTCTCCCTTCTTCTCATCCCCCTTTCTCTCCTCAACCTTCTTCCCCACACCTTTCTCTTGTCCTGACTCTACATCCTTAGCTACTCCTCTCGCATTTGACTTTGTCACTTCGCTTGGCTGATCTTTCCCCTTCCCTTCCACACTTCCTTCTCCCGCCTTTCCTCCCTTCCCTTCCACCTTCACTCCCGTCTTTCCTTCTTCCTTCTTTTCCCCTGTCACTCCCTTATCTTCTCCCTTCCCTTCTCCCTTCCCTTCTCCCTTCCCTTCTCCCTTTCCTTCTCCCTTCTTCTCACCCTTCTCGTCTCCCTTCGCTTCTCCCTTATCAGCTGTACCTCCTTCCAGTTCTTTTCCACCCTCTCCCTCTCTCCCCTCTGCCCTCCCCCCTACAACAACCACTGCGCTCTGCTCCCCCTTCTTCGCCCCATCCCCCTTTACCTCAACTCCCTTACCCCCACCCCCCTCTTCCCCTTTACCGCCACCGCTCTTATCCTTCTCATCTATACTCTCCTTCCCTCCCTCCGTCCCTTCCTTACCGTCTTTGCCCGCCCCATCCTCCTCCTTACCCACTTGCCCACTCCCATCCTTCTCCTTGCACTTACCACCTCCAGTGGTCTCACCACCACTCGTCTTCGCTTGCCCTCCTTTCTCCCCCGCCACTGCTCCCGCACTTCCGCCACCTCCTGCTCCGCTTCCGCCCGTAGCTGCGCCTGTAATTGCGCCTGCAGTTGCGCCCGTAGTTGCGCCCGTAGTTGCGCTCTTAGTTGCGCCCTTGGTTGCGCCCGTAATTGCGCCTACAGCAGCGCCTGCAGCTGCGCCCGTAGCTGCGCCTGCGGGGGATAAAGACAAGCTGGCTTTCCCCGCGGCTGGCTGCGCTGTTTTCCCCGCTGCCGCAGCAGTGGGCGCGCCAACCTTCACTGCGCCATCCGCTTTTGCCTCAGCGCCAGTCCCCACTTCCGCCTTCCCCGGGGTAGGCACGGAACTTGCAGCAGCAGCGGGTTTTGTTCCGCCGACAGGCGCAGCCATAGCTTTCACTGCAGGGGGTGACGTGGCTCTTGGTTTCGCAGCAGGAGGTAACGTGGCTCTCGCTTTCGCTGCAGGAGGTGACGTGGCTCTTGGTTTCGCCACTGGGGCTGTCGCAGGGGGCGTCTTTGTCGCAGAAGCCGTCGCGACGGGCAACGCCTTCGCCACCAACGCGGGTGCCGCGAGAGCTTTCACCATCGGAGTTCCCGTCGCAGCAGCAGGCTTCGTTGCAGAGGCAGGCGCAGGAGCGTTTGTCGCAGGGGCGTTCGTCGCAGTGGCGATCGTCGGAACAGCCTTCACTCCTGACGACGTCGCAATGGTCGCTTTCGCAACTGGAGCCGTCGCAACGACCGGTTTCGCCGCTCCCGCCACAGGCGCAGCAGGCTTCGGCGACGGAACAGCTTTCGTCGCTGCCCCCGCCGCTGCTCCCGCCCCTGCTCCCGCCGCTGCCCCCGCCACTGCTCCTGCAGGCGCAGGTCCGCCCGCTGCACCCGCAGCAGGTTTGCCTTGCGCTCCTGCGGGTTTTGCGCCAGCGGTAGCAGGCGCAGCAGGTTTGGCTGCTGCCGTAGTTGGCGCTGCTTTCGCGGCTTGAGCCGAGACAACTCGAGTCTCCGTTGCTTGACTAGACGCCGCTGGAGTGCCTGCGACGTGAGGAACCGTTGCAGGTTTGACTGTTGGAGCTGTCGAGACCGCCTTAGTCGACGACGCGGGAATCGCTCCTCCTCCTCCTCCGCCAGCCGTTGCTGGTTTGGCTGCTGCGCTGGCAGCTGCTGCTGCTGCTGCTGTTGCTGCTACTGTAGGTTTCGCGACTGGAGCGGTACTCGTTGCTCCGGGCGTCTTTGTCGCCTCCGTCGCCACGCCCGGAGGCTTCGTCGCAGCTGCCGAGGGCTTCACCGGAGCTGCTGTCGCAGACGAGGGTTTCGTCGCAGAGGCCGTCGCAGTAGCGGGCTTCGTCGCAGCAGATGCCGCTGTTGATGCTTTTGCTGGGACCGTTGCTGCTACCGTGGTCCCCGCCGGCTTCGCAGCGACAAGCGCAGAAGCTGCCGCCGGCGCTGCCGCTTTCCCGCCAGGCGCGGCCGATTTGACCACCGCATTCGACGGCGCCGGAGCTGGTTCATTTTTTGGCGCTGCAGCGCCTGACGCGGACGCCGCCCCTCCCGCAGTTGATTTTGCCTCCGCGGGCTTTGCGGAATCGGATTGAGCGGCGGAGGGTTCGCCCCGCTTGGGGCCCTCAGGATCGGCGGGCATGACGCAAGAGATGTTGATCAACGGCTGAGAATTAAGGGAAACAAACGCAAAACACTTTAGGGATATCCAAAAGACTAACTCGGTTTTCACGCACGTAGCACCGTGGAGAACGCGCCAAGCAGTTGGAAAACGACCGAGACGCTGCTTTAGCCTAAATTAAACGGTCCTCGCACAGAAGGGTACGCTGGCTGCAGGTTTGCTTGAAACGAGTGGCTCAAACTGTCGAGAGGAATAGACGGGAGAGAAACGAGAAGGGTCAACCTCGATCGCAAAGCGTGAATGAAAAAAGGTGCTCCTGTAGGGCTGGGCCACGCGACAGGGGCAAGCAGGGCGAGTGAGAGAGTGAGAGAGCGAGTGGGAGAGGGAAAAGAGTGTGAGAAACAAGTGCGAGGGAGAGGCGGCGAAGCGGGGAAAATTCAAGTGCTTGAAAATACAATTCGAAAGGAGGTTGAGGCTCGCGAAAGGGTTTGCTTGGGCGAAGACACATTTTGCGAAGAGAACGAAACTCTTCCAAGAGCAGGGACAATTGCTCTGACGAACGCCTCGCCCTCTTGAAAAGCGATGCTGTTACAGTTGCCTCCGACTGCACCATCGCTATCAGGAATTGCACGGGGTGTTTCCCTCCGCAAGATAGTCACCACTCGGTATAAGTAGCGTAAATGGTAACAACATTAACGAGCATCCACAATACAAAACACTATATGTGCTCATTTCATGAGTACATAAAAGCGGCTAATATTGCAACACTATACAAAGCTATAGCCAAAAGGGTACAGAGAACACACACTCAGTTAAAACCCTGCACCAGGAAGAAGCAGGAAGGAAAATTGGGCACAATCAAGAACCCAAGCCTCCCTGCAACCCTGTAACTTGTCCCCAGTCTCTCTCTCATTCACCCCACCCACCCCAGCCCCTCATGCTGCCACCGCCACTCCTAAATAGGGCTACCTTAGCCAACGCCGTGAATTCTCTGAGCATGCAACAAGCGCATGTTGAACTTTCAGCCATGCCACGTGCCATGGCATGGTGCCACCTGCACTTGCTCACCAAACTCTGCTCGCCCCCCATCCCAATCACCGCAAGGACTCGGGTTGGTTGGTTCGCACGCATGAGACGGAGAACCTCTTGCGATCGGAAAAGAGACCCTCCCAAATCAAAGACCCCCTCCGACAACGCCAGAAGTTGAGCGCTACCCCCTAATCACAGCCTCCCTCCTACCCTTCCTCCTTCAGTTCTGTTCACCAGCACTGACAGACAAATGGAGGGCACGTTTGAACTCCCATCTGCAATCCAATGATTCCCCTCCCCCTAAACGTCTGTCTCCCTCCTTCCAGTCTGCTACCTATCTCCTCCAGTGACAAGGAGGCTCTGTGACGGCAATGTGGGGTAGCGCTGCTCCATGCCTCCAGCCAGTCACCTCGACAGGCCTCCAGCCAGTCACCTCGACAACAGCTGGCAACAGCAGAAGGCTTTGCGACAACTCGAGAATCACATCGAAAGCCAGCAGCAGCAGAAGAGGCGCAAGCATCGCACAGTCAAGAGCCAGCTAGCAGTCTCCTCCACAGCAGGAAGCGGCAGCAAGACCCAGCTAGCAGCAGCAGAAGAGCGAGGAGGAGGAGGAGGAGGAGGAGCGCGGCGAGCGGGAGGCGCCAGCAGAGGCGGAAGAAGAGCCGGATGCGCGGTGGTGCGAGGAGGCCTGGCCGGGCAGCGCGTTGGGGTCGCGGGAGAGAGCATCCTGCATGGCCTCCAGCTGCTGCACCACGTACGTGAAGGGCGGGCGCCGGTCCGGGTTGCTGTGCCAGCACACTTGCATGAGCTCGGCTAGTGGGAGCGGGATGCTTGGGGGGATGTCTGGTCTCGTGCCCTGGTGGGGAGGGAGGTGCAAGGGAGATTCGGGAGGGGGGATTGGAGGGGGGAGGTGGTAGGGGGGAGGTGGGATTGGGAATGTGTGACCACGTGCAGTCACATTGTGTGAGAGGGAGGCAGTCCTACGAATCACATTGTTTCTCTCTAGCAACCCTCGGTGATTCCACTCCACAACCCCTCACAGACTACTTTCCCCCGTTTCTTCTGCACACCACACAACCACAACCGCCACTATCTGTCCCTATTTCCCCCCAATTGCCCTCTCAGTCATTCCACAGACCCGCCCCGCTCCATCTCCTTCCTCTCCCCTCTCCCCTCTCTCTCCCCTCTAGCCCATTCCACCGTTCTCCCTGCAAAACCAGCAACTTTGCTCCCTCCCACCTTCCCTTCTCACCCCCCATCCCAACCCCTTCCAACCACACCCACCCTAAACTCCCGCTACCTTTTCCCCCTCCTCCCCCCACCCCACACCCACCCGATTAACCATGGCAAACGCAGTCTGCATGACCGTGCCATCCCCGTGAACGGCAGCTGCAACTACAGCACACTCCAAAAGCTCTACACATCCGGACCCTCTCCCCCGCCTCTCCGCACCATTCCTCAACACACCCACCACAGCAAAACCAGCCGCTACACCCCTTCCCACCCCCCATTCCTCCCATCCCCACCCACTCCCGTCCTCCACCCCTCTCCACCCACCCGATTAACCACGGCGAACGCAGCCTGCATGGCCGTCATGCCCGCAAACGGCAGCTGCACGGTGCAAAGCTCCCACAGCACAATCCCGAAGCTGTAAACGTCCACGTTCTTGGTGTACGGGCGGTGGTCCACCACCTCGGGCGCCATCCACCGGTACGTGCCGGTTTCTGCGGTCATGAGCGACGTGTCGGCCTCGAGACGCGCCACACCGAAGTCGGTTATCTTCACGATGGTGTCCGTGGTCAGGACCAGGTTGTCGGGCTTTAAGTCCCGGTGCACCACGCCCTGGATGGGGGGGTTGGGAAGGGGAGAGGGAGAGAGGAGGGGAGTGGGGTGCGGAGAGCGTGAGCGGGTGGAGGTTGAGGTTGTTTTGAAGTTGCCGGGGTGGGTGGGGGCGAGGGTGATGGGAGCTGTGTAGGGACAACCTGGGAGAATTTTCAAGAGAGCAAAGCGAGGCAGTAAGTGTGAAGAGCTGTTGGGCCGCGTTGGCGGTCGTTGGCCTCTGCAGCATTACCGTTGAAAGGGTAGCCATTGAAAAGCAGGTGGATAGGGTAGCTGTGGAGTTGATTGAAGACAGATTGAGATGCCTCCAACCAAGTAGCACCTCCCTTTCTTACTCTAGCATCCCACCTACCAAGTGCCACATGTCACGTCGTGCCTGGCTAAGGAGTACACGGCCGCTTCAGCTTGGTGTTTCTCCAACCCTTTCTCAACACTACGGTATACTACGCGGAACGCCTGAACTTGCCCACACACCTGCCTGTGCCGCACACACGCATGCTGCTGCTGCTGCAAGCACCCCTTCACACACTCACTTCACACACTTCTGAAAACAACCAACCCCTGCACATATTCACCTCTCCCTCGCCCTTACCTGCACATGCCCCACACACGCGCATGCGTCCCCTCCCCCTCCCACTCCCCTCTCCCATCCTCCCCTCCCCTCCCCTCTCACCTCCGCGCGCGTACAAAGATAGCTTTTTTACGAGTTAAGAGAAACACTTTGAGGCACGTCAAAAGTCATAAAGAATTATTAATCTCCGAAAAAAAAAGGGTGCAAAATAAGCGACACGTACAGCGCACCACTTCGGGCGATAAGTTGAGGTGGTGGTGGTGGATTGGAAAAGGGAACAGAAAATCAATCACTCAACTCTCGACCCCCCCAATCCCACGCCCCTTGCACACGCATTCATCCTCCCGCACACACCCACACTCCCCCTCCCAACCTCCCTTCGTTCGCCCACACACGCGCGCCAACCCTGCTTCTCCAAAATCCGCTTTTCCCCCTTTTCTCCCGCTCCTTCCCCCTCCCTTGCCACTAACCTCCGCGTGCAGGTAGGCCATGCCGCGCGCGATATCCAGCGCCAGGCGCACCACCTCTTGCAGCGGAAGCAGCTGCCCCTCGCGCTTCTGCAGGAACCCGCGCAGACTCCCCCCGCCCAGATACTCCGTCAAAATGCACCACGTGGGCGGGCGCTGGCACGCGCCGATGAAGCGCACCACGTTCGGGTGGTCTAAGCGCGCGAGGAGATCTACTTCCTGCTTGAACTGATGCGCGAGTTTCTCCGCCTCGCCCTCGCTGTCTGGTGGCCGTAGGATCTTAATCGCCACGTCCTGCCCTTCGTACAGGCCCTGGTAAAGGCGGCCGTACGTTCCCGTCGCGAATTTCGGCCCTACGAAGAGCCGTTGGAGCTCCACGAGTTTGTCCTCGTGGCCTTCCAGCGCGCGCCACGTGTTTTCCGCGCCGCCTGCCCCGCCCCCCGCGCCGCCTCCGCCGCCGCCGCCCCTGCCGGACCTGCTTCCCTCGCTCCGGCGCCGTCCCGTCGTGCCTTCCGCAGCGGTTCCGCCGTCCCCGCCGTCCGCCGCTGCCGCGCCGCCCTTCCTCCTCCTCCGCCTCCGCCTCTGCTGCGCCTTGTCCCCTGGCGCTCCACCCCCCTCCTCCCCCTCCGCCTCCCCCCCCGCGCCCTCCTCCCCTTCTTCAACATCCTCCCAGTCCTCGTCATCATCCCTCACTTCCACGTCCTCCTCCACGTCATCTTCCGCCTCTAGCGGCACGTTCAGCAGCCACACGAACGACCGGTCCCCGTCCGCCGTGCGCCGCGACGACTCGCTCTCGTCCCCGCTCGCGTTCCCCTTCGCGCCCCCATCCGCGGAAGGATCCCCCGCGGATTCCGCCGCCTTCTCGTCCCGGAGTGCTTTCTCCTCGTCTACCCATATTCCGTTTCCGCTCCTATCGTACCCTTCTCCGCGTTCCTCTTCCGCTTTGTCGTTTTCCGCCAGGATCAGCTCTTCCGCCTCGCCTCCCCCTCTCCCCGCATCCCCGCCGCCTAATTCCGCCGCATTTCCCCCCCCGACCTCCCCGCCACCTCCGCCAGCTGATCCCGGACGGCCAGCTTCCGCGCATCCATTAGCGTCCGCGCTATTGAGAGCTCCGCCTCCGCGCAATCTCTCCGCTCCCTCGCGGTCCCCGTCTCCGCGCACCTCCCCCGCGGCTGCGCCCTCCTCGTGACGCAACTCCTCCTGGCTTCCCCCCTTGCGCAAGGAATCATCCCATCCATTTTCCATGCGCGCGCTAGTCCTCTGCGCTTCCCCTTCCGCCCATGCGCCTCCTTTGCGCTCAGATGGCGCAATCAGCGGGCGCTCATCTTCCGCCGAAGCTTCCGCCACAGATCCGCCAAGCGCGCCTGCGCCCATCTCTAGCCTTCCGCGGAAGCGATGGTCTACGGGGTCCTTTGCGGAGCCTTCCCCCTCAGCAAGGGGGGAAAAGGTGCCGCCGTTCATTGCGCTGCCGCCAAATCCGCCCAGCGCCGTGAATGGCGCCAGACGCCACGATGCGCGATCTCCGCCGCCCTGCTTCCGCTCCCACCACGCTAACTTTGGTACGCTAAGGAACGGGCGGAAGGGCCTTCTAGAATCCGTGTCTCGACCTGTGCGCTGCGTCCCGCCGTACCGCAGTACACGGGATTAGCAGAAAGTGGAAATGGAAAGTGGAAATAGCAGAAAGCGGAAAACGGAGAGCAGAATGCGGAAAGCGGAAATGGGAGAGCGGAGAGCCGAGGCGGAGTAAGGAACGGCGGCGAGATTTCAGGAAAAAAAACAATTGTTTCTGTAGCTTGAAGAGGCGCCAGGGACTAACTTTGAATAATTCTCAACAGAGACTCCGTGAAACCGGACGGTACGGAAGAAGACGATCAGGACACGACACGACGCATTAGGGTCGAACACTGATAGAACATAATATTGTGTGATTACGGTCATCAATTCGAATAAGGTGCAGCCGAGGTATGCTACGCAGCACCCCAGTCGACCAGCCTTAGATGACTTTCAAATGGACATGCCCGCCCGCCTAGGAGGAAAGGGAGGAGCGCGTAACTAATACGTATGCTGTCGCAAGGGAACATGCAATCGAGGTCGAAAAAGGCGGGTGCAGTGGAGGACAGTGCAGCGGATAGATAGACTATGTTTGCTCGTACAGTAGAAAACGGTCGTTCGTTCTGTCCCTGTCTGAGGTCGTGTCATGCCACTCGCGAGGGATCTGATGTACACGTGATGCCTGATTGAGCCCCTCCCGGTCCCCTTGTAAAGGAAGCGTAAAAACTGTATCGTGAATTTCGCATAAGTTTCGTCTATACGCAGCTAGCTAAAAATAAATCGCAGATGCATATATAAAGGAGCGGTAACCTTATCCATTGACGTTTTGACTTCAGTCTCTTTAGTTTGACTTCAGTCTGTTCGTTACTAATGGTTCATAGCGACGCGACGCCCTTGTAACGTGGGTGCAACAGGCTGGGGAAAAAACCTCGGGTGCAGCGTTCTATCTGGTGCAGAGCAAATTCGCGTGCATGGGGTGGGCATCATTTGTAGTGAGAGTCCGGGAACATAATTTCCTCGCAGGGTATTTCGCCAATTGCTCTGCTTTCTATGGTAGCTTAATATTGTGATATTTCGTTTCCATGAAATTTGCAAAAACCTCTAGTTAAAATAAGGAGCGAATTAAGTAGCAAGCCATATATGATGGAGGATACTGGGCAATGATCTCATGCCAACTTTTGGAACACCCGGCGTGGAGGAAAGAAATGCATGGAGAAGAGTGCAGAAAAGTTGGTGGTTTCTCCGTCAGCAGTCCAAAAACAATTGTTAGAAGACATTCATGAGGCAATAAACTGATGTCGAACAAACTTCAGGTGCAGTCAGAGTGGCATAAGCAGTACTGCTCCCAGTCCGGCTGCTTTCAGTAGTATACTTTACAGTATCATGAGTGAAATCTCCCCGTCCTGGAGTGTTTTGAACTTAGTGATCACTCCACACCTAGCATGCAAAGCAGATGCTCCACCGCATTGAAGTGATCTACACCACACACGTATCTAGTTCTGTTGTCTGAATTGGAGATGGGGTCTACTATCATAGAATACCCGAAATGGGGTGCATCAACAACTCACCAGCTGAGCAGAGAACGTTGTTTCACAAGCTGCCAGTAATTCCCCGTTGCCAGACGTTCTATGATTCCATTGCTCTCTGGACCCTCGTGTGACCACGTGAGAGCACCGCAACCAGTCGTGACCACACATATCTTCTTGTTTTCCCTTGCCAAAAGGGGGCAACCCTATTCGTCGGACCCTGGCCGACCAACATACGTTGTACTGTACGATTCTATTTCATTCGCCCTCTGCTGCTGGGGGCTGGCGTCGAGTTGTACACCCTGTTTCGCGCTAGCAGAGAATCTGGTTGCAGAACATGCACAGGTTGTAGAACGTCACCACGTTTGAAATGGTCTTATCACCGACGGTACAAGCACATTCACAAGAAAGCGGTTAGCTAGGATGCTGCATGGTAAAGAACATTAACCAAGCGTTTCAAAACGGTTGAAAAGGGTATACAGCGATAAAGAAAAATTTTGCCCCCAGTACCACTCCGTCAGCTGGTGCGGCTTTGCCCGCAGGTTTCAGCCATACGGTTTATGGCACCTGACCGCACTGTAGCAGCGAATCGCGCAAGGTGAGAGGGTCGAGAAACAGGGTGTATGAATGGTGTGTGTGGTGTGGTGGCGCTGGTGTGTCAAAACTGATCAACTGGAGGTTTTTGGCACTAGGGAGGAAAACAGCCTGTCCCGAATTCCCAGTTTCATCCCCATGCCACAGACGATTATGGAACTGTACATGTCCTCTTTTCAAGGTGTCCTCTGTTTTAGAACTCTCTGGCCATACTTGATCTCCTACAGCCAGTAGTAGTAGTTGTGGCTATTATCAGGAAATACATTTTCAGATGATGCTGGCAGCTTCCAACCAAGCTGCAATCACATGCAATGCGCATACACTCTATTTACTATAGCATTTCCATTATACACTCACCCTATTATCCATCTTAGGGGCCTCCGACCCTGCTGCAGTTGGAGTACCAGTAAGGCACCTGTTGCTTTCACTCGTTGAACCATTATTGGGAATGATAAATTAGTTATTATTCCACAGGGTAGGGACTCTGTTCAGGCACAGACTGTGCCACATAGAGGCTGCAGAGATACAGCAGGGGGGCAGGTGACAAGAAAAGGGGGCGTTGTTTTCCTAGGAGGGAACATTGCTGGGCTCTTGAAACAGGCAGGACGAGCGGAAAAGGAAGTACTTTGCGTGGGATGGAAAAGCATGCATGCATGCTGGAGGAACTACCGGTATGCCATATTCTATGCCATACAAAACTCATGGTCACACTTAAAGCAGCCAATTGAGGATGCATGCATGCACTCAACGTCAGACTCACCCGTCGGCCTTCCCCGGAGGAGTAAGGCGTGCAGCGCGGAAGGCATAGGTGGGCATGGCTGCACAGAAGAGCATGCAGGCTAGGCCGATGATGAGGAACCCGATCCACAGCAGCCGCAGGTTGCTCTCCAGCTTCAACGCTAGGTCTATGATGAACTGATGGATGGGGAGGTGGTGCATTGAGAGGAATTTAGATTTGAGACGTCTCAAAACCCAACATTTATCACAATTAAGAACCCCATCCATGGCAGCTGCAGGTTGCTCTCCAGCTTGAACGCTTGGTCAATTATGAACTGACGCATGGTGGCGGTGGGGAATTGAGATTTGAGATGCATCACATTCCAACTTTTATCACGATTAGGAATCCCACCCACCCACAGCAGGTGCAAGTTGCTCTCCAGCTTGAACGCTTGGTCTATTATGAACTGACGGATGGGGGAGATGGGGAAGGTGAACAAGACGGCTGTGCACGTGAGACTTCTCCTGATAATGCGGTGGTTCTATGAGGGATTGTTAGGGGGGCGTGGGAAGGTGAGCGGAAAATGGGGTTTGATTGGACGAGCGCAGCAGTTACCATTGTGAGTGGGAAGGGTGGGAATGGTGTGGAGAGAGGGATGGTTATATGGTTATTGTGATTGCGGCAAGAAAGCACGACATGGCACACGCACAGCGTTGTTTATATGGTTGCAGCTTTGGCACCTTCGCTGAAATACTCACAGAGGTGACTTTTGAGTCGACTCAAAAGTCAGCTGGGGCACCACGGTTGACATACACACACCTACAAGAAAGTCCCCTTTATATATAAGCACCCCGAAAACTTTCAAAACAAGAACTTTCTCGAGGCGCCTCAAAGGTGAATGAAACGTGTGTGATAAGTAATTTTTGTAGTCGACTTAAAAATTGACTTATCACAAAAGGTGAATGAAACGAGATGGCTTCAGAGGTGGTCCAACAACGCATAGACATGATGGCATGGCATGGCATGGCATATCGCACCTGGGCAACGTTCTTGACATAGGCACAGTCAATGATGGTCTTGATGCCCTCAATGGCACTCTCCAAGCGGTCTGTGCTGACCAGCAATGCACTCATGTCTGATAATACCTCCTCTGGCATGCCTGCGCTCCCTGCGCTCCCTGACTGATTCAGTTTCTGCGGTTGGGAGCAGGAAGATGGTGGATGGGAAGGGTGCTTCGGGAAAGGGAAGACGAAGGCGAAGGAGAGGAGAGAAAATGACACTGCAGCGGAATGGCAGGCACAGGCAGCGACGCAGAAGGCTAGGACGGTGCAGTGCGGTTCACAGAGGCGCAAAGCGGTGCAGGGTGGCACAGGGCACCTGGAAAATCTGCGAGAGTGTGAGGGAGCCTGGCTTGCAGATGGAGACATTCTGGTTGTACTGGGGAGGGGCGTACGGCACACACACTGCCGTTGCCCCTGCTGCTTGCAGGCCCTGCGATGGGAGGAAGAGAAGGGGAGGGGAGGGACAGGAAAGGGAGGGGAAGGGAGGTGAGAAAGTAAAGACGGGTGGGTGGGATACAGGGCGAGAGCACAGACGCTAGCAGTGGTAGTTATACCGCAGGAGTTACCCAACAAGAGTAAAGCAGGAATTACCCAACGAGAGCAAACCAGGAATTACCCAACGAGAGCAAAGCAGGAATTACCCAACGAGAGCAAAGCAGGAATTACCCAACAAGAGCAAAGCAGGAATTACCCAACGGAATTACCAAACAAGAGCAAAGCAGGAATTACCCAACGAGAGCAAAGCAGGAATTACCGCACCTGAGGGTACCCCTTTTCCAGTTCATTCTTGATGAAGGTCTGCGAGGTGAAGATGGCGGAGTGGGCAATGGTGACCACGGCCTGCATCTGCGCCTGCTTGGCGCACGGCAGGTACTGGCTCATGGCGCTGTTGACGCTGGGGTTGTGCATGACCTGCGCTAGCGCTGCCACTGAGTCGCCCTCCACACTGGGATGGGAGGGGGAGAAGAGGGAAGAGGTGAGTGAGGGGGAGATAAGGGTAGGGAAGGAGGAAAGTATGGGCTCATGGCGCTGTTGACGCTGGGGTTGTGCATGACCTGCGCTAGCGCTGCCACTGAGTCGCTCTCCATCCTGCAGTGGCAGGGGCGCAAGCGAGTGGGGGGAGAGGGGAGGGGAGAGAGGGCGGAAGAGAAGGGTGAGGGGGAGAGAGGGGGGCGGAAGGAGGAAAGAGGGCTCATTGATAAGTTGACGGCGGGGTTGTGCATGAATTGTGCTAGCGCTGCCACTGAGTCGCCCTCCACACTGGGGGGGCGGGGGGAGAGAGAGAGAGGGGGACCGGGGAGACGGGGGAGAGAGGGGGAAGGAAGGAGGAAAGGTGCTGGCTCATTGCTGTGTTGCGGTGTTGCTGGGCTCGTTGCTGTGTTGCTGCGTTGCTGTGTTGCTGCGTTGCTGTGTTGCTGCGTTGCTGTGTTGCTGCGTTGCTGTGTTGCTGCGTTGCTGTGTTGCTGCGTTGCTGTGCTGATGGGCTCATTGCCGTGAATAACCTGCGCTAGCGCTGCCACTGAGTCGCCCGCCACCCTGCAGGGGCAGGAGTGAGTGAGAGTGGGTCAGGAGACAGAGTGAGAAGAGGGGAGGTGGGGGAGTGAAAAGCAGATCGAGAGGTGGGTGAAAACGTTTTGGAAGCAGCTGAGAATGTGCTGCGGCGTCTCAGAAGTCACACGTTCTCAGAATGCACCCACAGGTAGGTGGCATAGCATAGAATATGCCGGTGGCATAGCATATGCTGGTAGCATAGAATATGCCAGTGGCGACCCAGACCAGGCCCACACGACTTTTGTGACGTCTCAAAACTCTTTTGAGAGGCCAGAATGCACTGCACTCACAGGTAGGTGGCGTAGAATATGCCAGTGGCGACCCAGGCCCACACGACCATGATCCAGAGGAACACGAGGATGCTGACATGGCATGCATGGGTGGGTGCGGAGGGCGGGGGAGAAGGAGAGGAGGCGGGAGGGAGGGGAAGAGGTAATGGGGGAAGGGAGAGGGAATGGGAGGGACGAGAGGGATGGAAGGGGAGGAGAGAAGAACGAAGCTTGGGCGGGGAATGCGAGGGATTGTGAGGCAGCAAGGAGGGGAGGCGTGGCTTATGGCGTGATGTATGGGTGCATGGGGCAATGCATGAATGCATGGGGTGATGCATGGGGTGATGCACGGGGTGATGCATGGGTGATGCATGGGGTGATGCATGGGGTGATGCATGGGGTGATGCATGGGGTGATGCATGGGGTGATGCATGGGGTGATGCATGGGGTGATGCATGGGGTGAGGCATGGGTTTATGGGTTCACTTACATGTTTGTTACAGCCACTGTGCGGCATAGAGCAAACACTGCAGGAACCGCATATGAGACGAAGAGGGAGGGCGGAGAAGTGGCGAGACAGGGGGAGTCAGGGGGAGACGGGGGGAGACAGGGGGAGATGGGGGAAGATGGAGGAAGACGGGGGGAGGCAGGGGGAGAAGAGAGAGAAGGAGAAGCGGGGAGATATGATTATATGGTATCAAGGAAGATCTAGGGAAAACTCAGTGGAACAAGGGAAGATCTAGGGAAAACTCAGTGGAACAAAGGAAGATCTAGGGAAAACTCAGTGGAACAAAGGAAGATCTAGGGGAAACTCAGTGGAACAAAGGAAGATCTAGGGGAAACTCAGTGGAACAAAGGAAGATCTAGGGGTGGAGAAGGGGGCATTCTGGCAGATAGGGGAAGGGAAGAGGGAAAACAAAAGGGGGGGAGGATGGGGAAGAACGAGGAGAAAGTGGGGAGAAGAGAAAGGGGTCGAAAACAAAAAGGAATGAGTGTGGACAGGGAGAACAGATACGAGAAAGGGCAACAGGTGAGGATGAGAGAGGGCAGGAGGAGCGGGTCAAACAGAAGGCTGTTGGGGCAGCACTGACCGAATCCGAGAATGCAGAGCAAGACAATGGTCATACCCACTCCGAACATGAAGCGATAACTGGCATGGAACACATGGCATGGGGAGAGGAGGGGAAGAGGAGGGGGAGAGGAGGGAGGGAGAGAGGGTGAGGTGCCAAGGAACAAGAGTTAGGCAAGGTGAAATTGATGTATTGTGGAAGGAGGAAGAAATAGATGGGTGTTAGCATACGGAATAAGTCCCTTCAACCCTCCTCTTTCCCCTTTCCCCCGTTTCCCCATTCCCCCATTTCCTCTTCCCCCCTCCCCGCATTCCCCTCCACGCTGTCTCACATGAGCAGCACGGACGCGTTCACGAGGACAGTGCCCTTGTCCATCAGTCCCTGCAGCTCCACTGCCGTCCCGTTCACATCCAATGCTAGGCGCGACACCCTCGTGGTCGCGTTGGCTGGGGGAGGGAGGAGAGGAGGGAGAGGGTGGAAAGGCGGGGAGGGTGTTGGGACGAAGCAGGCTCTGCAGTTCCACGGGTGTCCTGTTCACATCGGCTGCTAGGCATGACACCCGCGCTGTTGCGCTCGCTGGCGGGAGGGAGGGTGGGGAGGGTAGGAAAGGGAGGGGAGGGCGTTGCGTCGACTCGAGTTTATCCCCCACCGTCTTGTTCACCTGTGGTGCCGTGCCATGCCACACACCCACGCTCGCTGTGGAGGAGGAGGAGGGTGGGCGAGGAAGGGGAAGGTCAGGTAAGGATGAATCGACCACAGCAGAGCAGAAGGGAGCAGATTGGAGCGGAGCGGGGGAAAGAGCATGTCGGGCGAAAAGCATATCTGAACAATTCTCAAGAACGAGAGAGAAGAGAGAGATAGGAGAGAGAGAGAGAAGGCGAGAGAGAGAACACTCACAGGGAAGCGCAGCGTCGGCGACGTGCGTGTGGGAGAGCGCAGCAACGGCCGTGGAGACGTTGGTGACAATGGCAGTGGCGCGGTCGACCTGATCCATGGCGTAGTCCGTTATGGCGTGCATGTTGTTGCGGAACATGATGCCCCCCGCTAGCATCACTGCGAGGCCCGCGCTGGGATGAGGCGCGAGGGAGGGAGGGAGGGAGGGAGGGAGGGAGGGAGGGAGGGAGGGAGGGAGGGAGGGAGGGAGGGAGGGAGGGAGGGAGGGAGGGAGGGAGGGAGGGAGGGAGGGAGGGAGGGGGGGGAGGGAGGGAGGGAGGGGGGGGAGGGAGGGAGGGAGGGAGTGAGGGAGGGAGGGAGGGAGGGAGGGAGGGAGGGAGGGAAATGCGACATGTGAGACGGAAAGCGCGGGGGGAGCGAGGAGTGTGGGGGGGGGGGGGGGGGAATCGCGATGGTGGAGAGCGGTGGTGAGGGGTGACGGAGGGATGTGTGACGGATGTAGCTTGTAGCATGGCGTCGAATGAGAGACACGCCACGGGCACAGAAGACTGCCGAGGAACGAGAGGGGTGCTGCCGTGCCGTGGTGCCGTAGTGGCGAACCGCGGTGCGTGGGTGCTTACAGGAGCGCGAGTATGGCAAGGATCATGACGAGCAGCGGGAGAGTGAGGTCGCGCTTGTCGTAGGGGCGGAAGTCGTCGCTGCGCATGCGGGTCCAGCGCTCGTGGCAGCAGCAGCACGTGCAGCAGATGCCCGCGGCTATAGCCACCCCCAGCAGCAGCCACGCCACGCCCACTATCGGCCCGAACGACGCCGTCATCCCCACCGACTGCCGTGCGCGGGGGAAGGGGGGAAGGAGGCGGGGGAAAGGGGGGAAACGGGTTGAAACGGGGGAAGGAGGCGTGGGGAGAGAGAGGGAAAGGGTGCGGGAAGGAGTCTCCGCGTCATGTCGCACGTCGTGTGGAACGTCGTATGGAACATCATAGTTACTTCACGACTCTCCTCCGTATCACACACACAGCTCAGCATTGACGATGTTGTGAGAGATCCTGCCTAGCATTCGGAGACATCAGGTCCCGCCTCCCCCGCACGCACCGCCCAGTAGTGTTGGTCGGCGGGGTTCCATCCTCCAGTGTACGGGCGCAGCCCGTTCATCGGGTCTCTCCTGGCCGTTCGATCCGGCACCAGGAGAATCGTCTCGTTGTTCACCACGATCGTCCCGAGCATGCCCCGACGACGCGTCGCCGCGGCTCCCGATTGGCCAATCGCGCCGCGGGATAATCCCAGTGCCGGAGCGGATTGGAGCCGGCGGGAGAGGGAGCGGTGATGCATGGGCGCGACGGCGGCGGCGGCGGCGGCGGCGGCGGGGATGGTGGCGCGGCTAGCAAGTGTCATGAGAGCAAGTACCGCGACGGTGACAACGAAGACTTCGGAAGCGACGCCTCGCACCGTCAGGGCCGCGGCGCGGAGATTCCGAGGAGATGTCGCGCCGAGGGGATTCCGCGGGGTGTGGGATGATGCAAAGCGGCGAAAGGGGCGTGTTGGGGTGGGGGAGGAAGACGAGGAAGAGAGGAGAGAGGAGGAGGAGGAGGGGGAGGGGAAATCCTTGAAGCGCACTGTCATGGTGGGTGGGAAGGGGAGGGAGAGGGAGGGCTACTCCGCAGTCCGTCAGAGTACGTCTGGCGACACCCGATGGACGGCGCACGCAGCGTGCAGAGACGATTAAGGGCCCGCTGCTGCCTCTTGGTGCGCAAGATTCAGCGGCAAGGTAAGGAAGTCCGGGACTTCTTGGGGGTTGGAGGGAGCGGGAGAGAGCAGGAGGGCGCAGGAAGGCTCGAGAGGGCACCCGCTGCGTAAATATGTCGCAAGTCGGTTCTATGCCGCTTCGAGGACGAGGCTGTGTCCAGCTATGTCGACAGACGAGCAATGCAAGAGCCAGATTCGACCTAGATGCAGTACACGCTACGGCTCAATACGAGCTGCATGAATCCAGCGTCGGAACCTGGAAAAGAACGTTATGTATTCTGTTTAAAACGTAGAAGCCACGTAATGCTCCTCTTCGAGTTAACCTCTGGCACAGCAGTTGGCTTGGGGATGCGTGTCGGGAACTATACTGCACCATTATCCGTGCGACGCGGAAAATCGCACACCTTCGTAGGATGCTAACGAGTGCCAATGAGCGCCCCTGCCCGTCACTTCAGTTCTGCGCTCCTTCAAGCTGCTGAACTCGGCTGAGCTTTTGACAATTATCGGAGCGCGGCGTGGGTAGTGTGGAACAAATTTTCTGGAATGTGAAAAGAATCATCGAGTCAAGGCGTGTGGTGTGGATGGGTTGACTACGACGTCTGCCTGAAATTCGTGGACGAATTGACCAACCAGATTGCAGTGCACTACAAGGTGTACAGTTCCACCACAACCGACTGCCCGTGCCGTGGGTATGTGTGACGCACTCGGAAGGGTGGAAAGGAACGACCTATAGCCCTGCGGGCAGGCGAAAGATCGGTTTGATGTGACTCAACAACAAATGTCACCTGCTCGCTATCGTAAGGTCATCTTTGCAAGCTGGTTCACATGCCACGGGCAGCCCATCGCAAAGCCTGATGCGCTACGCAACCGTCCAAGGGCGTGTCAGGACACAGCCTGTTTACAGCTCGTTGTAATGCTTTGAGGCCGCTGAGTCTGGTTTCGAGTGGTGAAGTGAGAAAACGAGTGGTTTATAGGGCTAGAGTTCACGGAATCGCACTCAACTGCCCCGATTGAATACGCCTGGGCTGTTCGTCATATTTCTTCGTTCAAGCTCTGTTTTACGCGGTTTGAAACGGTCAAGCACATCTAAGAGCGGTCTCGGACTTCCACAGTCTCCAAACCATTGCGCACCAGATAGTCAGTTGTGAACGAACGGATAACCCCCAGGCCAGATCACAGTTTGTGAGTAGCGAGCGGTTCAAAGCGGTGAGGTAAACAAACAACTTAGAAATTGCCACTTCACTACATAGCCCTGTTGGGCCGAGACTTTTATATGCAATATTCAGGGCAGCTCCCATGGCGCACTAGATTAAATGATTTTGGAGTTTCTTGAAGAATTTTCCGAGAATCAAACATAATTATCTGATGATGATGATACTCACGCATTTTTTGCAAAATAATGCTGGAGTCCTATTATGAGAGTGGAACCAGTCGTAAAATCAGAGTGTAACTACCATTACAACCACAAACGCAAGATAGCGTACCGACTACAACACCACCCCAGCATGTGCGTGTGCTCACTGTGCAATATTTGGGCAAGCCAGTCTTACAGCAATCAAATGCGAGGAAATCTCTAGGTGGCGTGTGAGGCAGTTCCAAGGTCAGATGTTCGATTTGTTCAAACGCCAGTCTGTGTGTGAAGGAAAAGCAACAGCAGATTGCCAGATTTGCTTGGCAGCCCAAGCAGCGAAGTAGTCGTCGATTTCGTAACTGGAATTCGTAGTTGCCTGGAGTGAGAAGAGCAGAAACGGTTCTTGTCAGCACGGCGTGCCTTCAGGGTAGTTGCAGTGTGCTCGTAAGCCAGCGTAGAAGTGTGCACTTGTTCGACCTCCATCTCGCCACTGCGCTAGACTCGTGTCTGTCAGGCAAACCGTCGATCTGCGTGTCGCGAGTTTGGGTCTCCGCCGCCGCTGTGCGCCGCTCTTTTGCCGATATCCTTTAGTGCTGCGATTTTTTTGCGTTAGTACTAGTCGCTTTGTGCGTGAGATTTAGATTTCAGGCCTATCAACCCATCTTGCCCGAGAGTTGACACGACAAGTATGGCGGATCAGGAAAAGAAGGGAGACACCCTGGTGCAGCAGGCCGATAAGAAGCTTAAGGGATGGGCCTTTTTTGGCGGGAAATACGACGAGGCTGCAGAGCTATTGGAGAAAGCCGCGACGTCGTACAAGGTCGCTAAAGCATGTAAGTCCCTTCGTCCGTCGCATGCGAACGACGTCCGACCTTACCGGCACGGCGACATCCTTTCGCAGGGGTATGCGAACTTGGCGACCGAATTCCATTGTGGCCGCATGATCGCGAGCGATCGGTCGTATCCGACTGTGCCATGGTGTCGTTATCATAGGCGCTTCGTGATGCACGAGTCATGTCCGAAGTCAGTGGTCTCTCCTTATCCTGATGAAGTTTCCGAAACAGAATCAGATCTCAGGGACGCGATCCGCTGTATTGGAAATTGCTAGTGGATTTTTTTTCACGAATTTGGAGGCATACCTTACCTTTCGTGGTTCCCGTGGTGTGGTAACCGAATTTCGGTACTTCGCACTATTGTTCTCATGAGTTTCCACTCATCCTCCCTTGCCATGCCCCCTGTGTTCATGTGTGCATGCGCGCATGTTGAAATGCCTGCATGCACATCTGCATGTGTACACGCGTGCATATCTGCATGTTTGCATGTATGCATCTCTGCCTGTCGTCATGCCTGCATGTCCGCATGTCTGTTCGTCCGCATGCGTGCACGCCTGTATGTGTGCATGCGTGCCGGCAGGGGACAAAGCGGCGGACGTATATTGCCGGCTCTCAGAGATCCAGCTCAAGGTGCGACGATCGAATGGGACCTGGAACCACTCTATTTTCAATCTTCCACAATCAATACCTTCGCAAGCCCCGTCTTATCCTCCCCGCTCTCCGCCCGTCTTCTTCTCCGCCGGGCCTCCGCAACTCCATTCGCAGTCTAGCCTAGCTAACTAGCTTCCCTCGCCGCTTAGGCTTTCCATCACGTCTCCTTTTTGGATTGTCGCAAGGATTTCCTTCGCCATCTCGAGCTTTCGCATGGATCGCCTCCCTTGTCGCGACCTGCCACCGTATCGCATGCGTGACCTTTGAAACCCCGCAGCGTATTCCCACCAGCGCATTCTCGCTCCCCTGCGCCACCCCCCTGCGTCACCCCCCGTGCCCCACCTCCCTTCCCCCGGCAGCACCTGGACAGCTCGCACGAGGCGGCGTCTGCGCTCATAGAGGCCAGCAACGCTCTCAAGAAGACCAGACCCGCTGGTGAGGACGGCGCTGCGCCAGTCGGGGGAGCGTTGCGCGGGACAGGGGGGCACTGCCGCAGTGAAAGGGGCAGTGCGCCAGTGAAGGGGACATGACAGGGGGCACGGTGGGGGCTTGGAGCAGTGTGAAGGGTGGGGCGGGCAGGTGGGGCAGGCAGTGTGAAGGGTGGGCCAGCGGTTACGCAGTGGTTTGTGGGGTTTGACAGCGGCTAAGCAGGGGTATCATACCCGCCCACCCATTTGTATGGCAAGCAGGGAAGGTCGACTTGCTGGGTGAGAGGTGAGTGAGAAGGTGTCTGCGCCGATGCAGCAGCAGTCGTCACGCCATGCATGTGTGCCACCCATGCCAGTGCATGTGTGCCACCCATGCCAGTGCATGTGTGCCACCCATGCCAGTGTGTGCCACCCATGCCAGTGCATGTGTGCCACCCATGCCAGTGCATGTGTGCCACCCATGCCAGTGCATGTGTGCCACCCATGCCACCCATGCCACCCATGCCAGTGTGTGCCACCCATGCCAGTGCATGTGTGCCACCCATGCCAGTGCATGTGTGCCACCCATGCCAGTGCATGTGTGCCACCCATGCCAGTGCATGTGTGCCACCCATGCCAGTGTGTGCCACCCATGCCAGTGCATGTGTGCCACCCATGCCAGTGCATGTGTGCCACCCATGCCAGTGCATGTGTGCCACCCATGCCAGTGCATGTGTGCCACCCATGCCAGTGCATGTGTGCCACCCATGCCAGTGCATGTGTGCCACCCATGCCAGTGTGTGCCACCCATGCCAGTGCATGTGTGCCACCCATGCCAGTGCATGTGTGCCACCCATGCCAGTGCATGTGTGCCACCCATGCCAGTGCATGTGTGCCACCCATGCCAGTGTGTGCCACCCATGCCAGTGCATGTGTGCCACCCATGCCAGTGCATGTGTGCCACCCATGCCAGTGTGTGCCACCCATGCCGCCCATGCCAGTGTGTGCCACCCATGCCAGTGCATGTGTGCCACCCATGCCAGTGCATGTGTGCCACCCATGCCAGTGCATGTGTGCCACCCATGCCAGTGCATGTGTGCCACCCATGCCAGTGCATGTGTGCCACCCATGCCAGTGCATGTGTGCCACCCATGCCAGTGCATGTGTGCCACTCATGCCAGTGTGTGCCACCCATGCCAGTGCATGTGTGTCAGTGGAGTCTCTTGAGAGGTTCTCTCAGGGATGGTTGCCGATGGTTGCTGCGTCCTGTGGCTTAGACTCCCATGTGGTTCATTTTTTGTGCACATGCAAGACTGATTTTTACTCAATAACCCTGCATTCTGCCTGTCACATCCTCACACATACACACACATCCACGCATGCATGCACATGCACATGCACGCACAT